GTTGCTCTTATGTGAACAGAGTGGATTCAGTCACATTCACTGTGGCAGGTAACTCATCCAACATGACAACCTGAGCCCCAAACACACCACCAGGGTACAACATGGAAACGAGCAATCAGCTCATGGGGCCACACAGAGCAAACAGCCTCTCGTGCCAGGAATGCTGCAGCTCTTTGCTGGTTAGGAACAGAGAATTTTGGGTACTTCTGAGACATGCAATGCTCACTCATGATAACCTAATCCCAGCTTAAGGGTCAGATCTTGCAGCACTTACTCCCATAGAGAATCCTTACTTGGCCCCTGAGGTCAATTGGGCTTTTTGCATAGTGGCTGCAGCAGGCCCAACCCATGAGAATACATCTATGCTAGGAAACTGTGTGGCTGGTTTTCTGCACAGGACACTAATAAGCTACACCAGTACTACCAGCAGGGTAAACTCCAGAGCAGGCTGCCACCGAATCTCATAGCCCTGCATGTAACACAAGTGATGAAAAACAGCTGAAATGTCTGAGAGTAAACAAGGCCCACTGCAAGGATGCTGGCAGAGAGATCAGCCCCCGGGTGGCTGGCATGTCTCATGTCACTATTCTCACTCCTCGGACTGGTGGGCTCTGGGTGCAGACCTAGTCCCCAGGGAAGAGTGTAGTCCTAGCCCTGGCCCTAGCTGGAGCTCTGGTCAGCCCCTACTCTACCTTCATTTGGAATAAGGTTTGGGGCTGAGGATCTGAGTCAAAAAGCAAATTTCCACAGCTAAAGCAAGAGAAAGTGGGGGTTGGGAGTACAGATGGAATAGGTTAACCGGTTACCTGGTAAGCATTAGGCTTAATGGAATGCTTACTGGGTAACCAGTTAACCAGACCATGTCCAAACCCATGTGGACGGCCAGCTGCACCAGGACAGAGCAGCCCCGGCTATGTTGGGCTGTTCTGTCTCCCAGCTGCATCAGGGTGGCGGACAGGGCCCGAGCCCTGGATGAGCTGGTGCTGGAGCAGCTCAGGCAGGTCCCTGGCTACAGCAGCACAGGGAGGACTGTAGGCCATGGCAGTGTTAGAGTGGCCTAGGCAGGCAGACAGGAGCCCCAGCCATGGCTGCACCAGAGCATCCCCAGTGTCCCATCCATGCCTGACAGGTGATGCCCTGTGCTAGCCTGACAACAGTTAACCAGTATCCTTTTAATCATTTAACTGGTTAACTGTTTTAATGGAGATTTATATCCTAGCGAGGAGCACAGAAGAGAGAGAGCAAGAGAGCACACTTCTCTGTTCCAATCTACTTTAATCCCTTCTCATTTGCATGGCGTTGGAGCCTATGGGATCAGTGCTCTTTGCTAGATGTGCCTAGCTCCCATTAATACCAACTCCAATGGCAGCTACAGGGTGGGATCGAGCCATTGATCTGAATACAGAGCTGCCATGAAGGCGCTGCTGTTGGTTTCGGTTCACTCAAGAGTGAGGCAGTACATGCCCTTATGCTTCTTAATTGGAAGCAGTTTTGCAAGGTGCCTCCAGCTCTGATCACAAGGATGAAGGTTGCCGGCCGCCTGGCCTTCTGACCCTGCTTTAGGCTGGCAGCAGTCCCTGCACGGAGGTGGTCATGGACACACATTGTAACTAACTTGCTGGATATTTCTTCCCTGTGGTTTCTTGCCTTGCAGCATTAGAAATAGTAAACAGCTTTGGCGCGAGGTCAGGATCTAGCTAAAAGGAACAGCTCTCATGTTCTCTGGCCTGGATTTGCCCCCTCATACAGCGCACTGTGTTCCCCCCTCCTAAATATTCAGAACATTCAGTTTGACTGATTCATTGAAATAGAAAATTAAGTGGCTTTCATAGATCAGAAAGAAAATTCGCCTCAGCCAATTTTAAAGAGGTATTTAGGTGCGTAAAGACTGATAGGTGCTTAAGATCCTCCTCTCAGGCCCCTATAGGAGTTAGGTTCTATGTATCTGTTTCTTCAGGTGCCTAAATGCCCATAAAAATATGGCCCCTAAAGTCCCGGAGCCTTTACGCAGCTAGCAGGGCTTAGCATCAGTGGGAACATTGGTCCCTTTGATAGGGTGCTTTTCACACACTGCAGGATGGGGTGGACTTCATCTCCTACACTGGGCTGCCCCTTGAACTCTGTGCAAGATCCCAGGGCTTGTTATACAACAGACAAGCCCTTCCCTCACTCATGTCACAGGCACACAGCATGTGCAGCCTGTTACCTAAAAGCAAAATCCACCTGCTTACACTGCAGGCCTTGGCTTTTAATGGTGTAGCTGTGGCTGCATTTCCAGCAATGGTGAGTGGCAAGGGATGGATAGTTGGGTCCTAAACTATTTGCTGGTGCACTGTAGGGTTCTGGTGCCACTCTGCCTCCTAGTTTTCAGCAGCTATACTGAATGAAACTTAAGCTAGAAGGAACTGTCTCCTGGATGCTATTTTCCCTGTTAGAATGTGTAAGTACTGAATCTTTCCAGAAGCCCCTTTCCTTTAAAGGTCTGGCCCAAATTCAGTGGATGTAATTCCACGTTACCTGCTTACCCTGTCTGAATTTAGCCCTTCATCTGTTAGACACAGATGCTATAATGTATCTTTGGAACAATACAGGCTGAACCTTATCTGTGGTCCTACATGATTTTAGTTTAGCCGGATGTCCCATGTAGTTTGTCTACAGCCACCAGTCCTGGCTCTCAGTGCTCTGTGCTGTTCTTCAGCTTTAATTTACTCCTCAATGTTCTTTAAGAGCCCAGTAAGCAGTGAAAGCATTGGTGATGCTACTAGACAATATTGACCTCCCATGGTTTGGCAAAATTTCCATTTCAGCACCAGTCAGGTCCTAAGGGTGCTGGACTAGAGAAGCTTAACCTGTATAATCATGGTACTTTGCATTTAGGCCATGTCTACAGTAGGAAAGTTTTGAAATTACTAAATTTGATTCAACTCCTGATTTAAGAAAATCAAACCAATGTGTCCATACTACGGGGAAGCCTCAAAATTAGTCCGAGGCAGGCTCCATTAAGGTGGACATGCTCCCTTGACTTAGAGCCCCAGGAAGCACTGGGGAGTAATTAGTTCGAAATAGTGGCACCGGAGCATCCACACTACTGTTATTCCAAAATAACTATTTTGAAATTAGCATTACTCCTGATGAAAAACAGGAGCACAGATTTTGAATTCCACATCCCATTATTTCGAAATAATGGGCTTAGTAGTGTGGATGCTCCATTTATAAATTCAACCGGGGTGGGGTGGGGAGGGTTATTTCAAAATAAAGTGTAGGGTAGATCAGTACTGACATAGCTCTACACGTCCACCAGGCACTACCCAAACAATAGCCACTTAATGTTCCACTAGTCTCGTTGGAGTCCCGAGTGTTACTGTGTAGAACCTGGTAGAATTGACCTCGGCAGCAGCTTGGTGATTTTTAAATCAATGTGGGGATTTTTTCATAACATCTCCAATGGCCTGCAAAATCTACATGTATTGAGCTTTCTTTCTTTTTTGAGATCTAATTTTTTGGATGAATTATATCTTGAATTTAAAGTTAAAACATTGTTAAATGCTAATATAGCGTGTTCAATACAATTTGGAAAGTTGTTACGTGAACCTAGCATTATTTCACTTTCTGGGGCCTGAGCAGACTATTCCAGGGGTGGGCAATAATTTTTGAAGGGAGGCCAGGCCACTTCACAAATTTCAGAGAGTGGCCGCAGGCCAACGTGGAAGTGGTGGGGCCTCAGATGTAAGGGGTGGGACCTTGGGTTGAGAGCTACCCTACCAGAAGGTTTGCTTGGCCTGGAATCCCTGCTCCCAGCTTTCAGGCAATGGAAGGGACCTGGAGCAGATGGGAGGGTGCAGGGGCTAGCCTCTTCCCCGAGTTGCCTGGGGTGGAAGCTTAGAAGTCACGTAACATGGCTGGCAGCTCCTGGCCCCTCTGCTAATTTGTTGTCTGCCAGCCACCTGTCAGGCCCAAGCCCTTTGAACAGAAGCAGTTAAACGGACTCATGCCTCCTAGGCAGCTCCCAGGCAACGGGCCAGTAGGACCGAGAACCACAAGCCCTTTCAGTTGATTCTATTTAAAGCAGTGTTTACTAAACTGTGTTCCATGGCACACCAGTGTGCCATGAGGTAGTCAGGTGTGACGCGGAGAACAGAATTCAAAATGCCCACCCTTAAAGGGGCAGGTGACTTTTTTCTTCCCCCCCCCCAACCCTTTTTCCCCCCTGACTTTTTTTGGGGGGGGGAACTCAACAAAAAATGCTTGATGTTCCCCATTAAAAAAATATTGTTTGGTGTTCCTTGGTCTCAAAAAGTTTAAGAAACACTGATTTAAAGGGCTTGCGCCTGCCGGGCATCTGCCAGGCAGCACAGCTGCCCAGCAAGTGTGAGCCCGTTAAATAGAAGCAGTTGAAAGGGCTTGCGCATCTCTGGCTCCCAGACAACGCACGAGGGGGCGAGGCCTGGAACTACATCATGGGCCAGATCAAAGCCCTAGGCAGGCTGGATCTGGCCCACAGAAGGTTTTGCCCACCCCTGAACTATTCTGTCACTAATGTATATATTAGCCCATGCTATACTTTACAAAGGTGCATTTTTCTCTCCACCTTGAAGGGCATTATTAATGAAATGGACAAATACCATAAACTAAAGGGACAACACAAGCAAAGCACGAAACTTTCAATCAACAACTTTGTATGCTACTGAAAAATGTCCCTTAAAATTTGCCTGTGGTATCTTCAATGATACAGGCCGCTAGAGGGCAGAGTTAGCATAACCCCAGAATGAAAAAGCTCTGTAGCTATCGGGACTGCAGTGGCAAAACATTCTCATCCAGTTACAAATGCTAAATAGTCAAAAAAAAATCAGGGAAACTGAAACATTAAATTTATAGTTTTAAAACCTGTATTATGAAGTCACCTACAGCTTGTGTTCCATTCTTCAAAGACCTTTTGTCCATGAGGAAATTTGTTTACCCAGAGTCTATGTTGTAACAAAATTCTCACATGGCAATAGGCCAATCTTCATTTTTATTAACCATATGGATTAATAAATTAATATGGATCTTTTCAGAAGTGATGTAATTAATAACGAAGACAGTTATCTACTGTTATCAACAATATGTACTACAGCCTGCAAGTCACACTCTGTGCACATAAAATGGAATATATTATTGCTTGTTAGCCTATTTAGACTCTCTTTATAAAAAATTTTTATACAGGATTGTGACAAAACTAGTTAAATAGTTTCCATCTTGGAAAATACAACATCAACTTCAATGAAAGCCTGGATAATAGCAGAGACTTTGAACAGTAACAAATATTTCTAACAATTTAATGATCAGTTTACAGAATGTTCTCTAAGATTCTTTCCTGGTAATAATTTACATTTAAAAAAAAAGTTGATAAAATATAACATGGAACATATGAATCAAGAGAAGGAGTAAACGTCATACCAACAGCATAAAACATTTTTGAAAATGCTAAATTATGTCCTCTGTTAGAAATCATACATCATTTTGTCTTTAAAGAAAAATATTTCTCCTGTTTTAAAATATTAGTAACAGTGTGTAATAAACTAACAAAATTAATTTCATAAAAAGTTGTCTTATTGTTCATACATTACCAATCATGCTTCAGTTGAGAGCCTGCTAACTGCTTCAACATGATAAATAGATCCTATATAAGAACTTGTGACATTCTGACTCCAGAAAAACCTACAATTTCTAATCAGTACTTTGATAAATGATCCATAATTAAGAACATGAAATATCATTCAAACAAAGAACTGTGATTTTCCTTCAAAAATCCTTTCCAAGAAGTTGGGATGCGTAGATTGGACAGCCAGCCCAAAGTCTGCTTAGCCCTCATCCTACAACTGGATCCACATAGACAAACTCTTATACTTGAATCCATGGAGGTACTAGAATCTGGATCCATGGATTCAAATACATAATCCATGCCTTATTTTATCTCTACATCATGCTAGTTGGGTCAGGGCAAGGAGAAAGCAATGCCAGGTGCTTGGAGGGGGGGGGGGGGGAGAAGCCAGGACTGATCATATTGTTGTATCTTCAGCATGTTCACACTGCAAACAGGGGAAATCTGTACAAGTCTCGGTTCCAAAATTCTGCTCTCCTTGTTCATGGACTTCCCATCAGGAAAAGGTAATTTTGCTCTTAATGATATAGCCATCACCACCTCCTTAAAAGCAAAAAGATAGATGACAAAAAAGTGACATCTAAGGATTCCTTTTGCAATTGAACCTCCCATGAACATCAAGAACAGCTTTAGGTATGCAAGAAATGGAGAATTAGCCCTCTGCTGAGCATGCAATGATTTGTCCCTTCACCCACTCTTATGCCAGGGATGGTTAACTTAGGCTAGTGAGCGGGCTGCACGAGCGGCCCTCCATCTCAGTGAGCCAAAAGACTGTCATAACCAAGACAGTCTCCCAGAATAGGGCGTGTTTGCTTAACTGTGCTGCATGCCTAGAATTTGCGGGTGTGTCGACTGAACCGCAGCAATGCTTTGATTGGATGCAGCAAGAACATGCAGCTCTCACAATCAATACCGTGTACAATCAGCATGCACCTCACTTCATGTGCCCTTGTTTTATGTGCATGTCACTTGAGTAGTACTGGTAAGGAAAACACTATGCGGACAGAAGCCAGCGGAAATTAGCAACCCTGCACATGGGCAGTAGTAAATAAAGTATCTTGCGGGCTACACACAGAACCCTGATGGGATGCAAGTTGCCCATCCCTGTCTTAGGTTTGCTCACAGAGAAAAAACATAACTAACACTTAAACTTAAGACTCTTTTACGAGTAATGTACCTTTATTCAGGTTTCAGATGCTCATTCTAGTAAACTGCTACTTTTACAGATTTGATGTGCCAGAGGCAGAAGTTAGAGCTACCATATCACATTATCTTACACAGACAATGGCAGATCAAATATGACCAAAAAAGTTTGGTTTTGCAAAAGTCAGTTTTTCCAAGCTTAAGACCTTGTGGAGCACTATCACTTTCCAAGCTTAAGACCTTGTGGAGCACTATCACTTGGAGTCCTTAAATCAAGACAGCATATCTAACTAAAAGATTTTTCTCTACTTTATCGACACACATTGAGCTCAATGCAGGAAGTATTGGCTGAAATTCTCCCACCTGAGGCATGAAGGAGGTTGTGCTAGAAAGCTCATAATGATCCTCCTAGCCTAAAGCTCTTTGATTGTGAACCATTAGAAGTGTTTCTGTGGTTTGTTTTATTTTAATCCCACTATCCCAGTGGGGAAAACATTTTTATTTGCCTGTAAACACAGTTCTTGAGTGTTTGAAACCCAGACACTGTAGCATTCCCCTAGTGCACGACAAACTAAGTGAAACTAGCTAGTCTATTATCACTATTCAAGATGTGAGAAATGCAGATAAGCAAGACAGCATAAAATAGAATAACTTTCAATTACAGTAATTTCTAGTGTTATTTTATTAACACAGAAGAGAAAAATATATATTTTTAAAAATAGGAGTTTTAATCTGACAGTGACCTTCTAATGTGATTAAAAACATAAACAAGACGATCCATAGCCTCGAATAGTCCTATATTTAACTAATCACATTTGAGCTTGCAGAGTTGAAGGAGGTGCAACCACAAAATGTGGATTTCGCTATTCATGGAGGAACAGAGCTGTCCAACTGCCAGTCCCAAAAGGAGATTTCTTGGGATGCTTTTTGGCATATTTATTCCTCTCACACCCAGTTAAAAAGATTTGGGGGAAGTTGCATACCTCTTACTGGACACAGGTAAAGTGTTAATAACTAGTTATACAGGTAGCTAGTATCCAAACAAAATACCCATATAAAATTTTCAAAGTAACTGAAGATAAAACCCCTGTCATTCAGTTATCAAGTTTGGAATGTATCTATATTCCCATAGTCCTTTTAAAGACATAGTTATTAAAAGATCCAGTGCTACAAACCACTAAATCTATCTAATCTAATCTAGTTCATACACATATTATACAATATTGCCTAGGACTTACTACATATCAAGAGGAAAAAGTGTTGAGTTGAATTACAGTAAATGTGCTTTTTTTAAAAAGAGCCACAACACTGTTTGACCAGCATGCAACAAACTTTCTTAAGCTAATATATAGAAATTGCCTAATACAGTTAGGAAAAAAAAAAGTTAGACTGAGGCTAGAGACTTATTTGTCCAAGGAAATTAAGAGATCAGGCTGAAATGTTGACGCTTTTGCCACCTTAAAACTCTTAACATTCTCAGGTTTATAGACTCTCCCTCTCTCAAATATTACATCAACTTTTACAAAGTACATTGTTGGGTACATTATTTTTGCTACTATTCTGTAATTATTTCAGAATCACTTAAAATGCCTCAGCTAAGCTATAACCCTAAACAGCTACATTCTCCATCTTATACAACTTCATGCTTTATTCTTACTTATTTGTGGCCTGCATGGAGAAACTGTCAGTGTGTTGTTGCAGTGGCAGGTCAGGAATCTATTGGCTCCTAAATATTACATGGGACTCCAGGTTCTTAAGTCACAGAACAAAATACTCCCTTGTACCTAAAATAGCAAGCCACTTTGAGACAGCAGTCAAGTCTTCATTAAAAATTATGAGATAAACCCCTAGTAGAAAAGGCTTAACTACCATGAACTTTGAGATACTCCAGACTTCTAAAATTGCTCCATAGTTTTTTTTTGGGGGGGGGAGGGTGAGTATCTCCAAACATAACTTTATTGAATCACTTGAATGATCTAATACACAGAGAAAGACCCCCACTAATCTAGCACACATAACTGTTGGAGAAAGTTGCTCTCTGCTTAGCAGTTCATAGAACATACAGCACTCTCTTTAGTACATGAACCTACAGGATTTTCTCTATGGTTAACATCTGATGTTCCTTTTTATTGTTCTTAAATCAACCAAATAGACATGCTGTGACTACTATGTCTGCTAGATTTCCCCAATCCCCCTCCTGTGCCAGTCCTTTGGGGGAAAACATCCTTCCTCTTTTGGTTTACTTGACAACACTTATGGGTGAATGGGATTGCCTTCAGCAACACAATTTTTTTTTTTAAAGTGAGAAGAGGTATGTGCTCATTGGCACCCCTTCTTAGGTGGCAAACTGAGGTTTTGCCCTGTCAAGTATCTCCTGTCCTGTAGCAGAAGATGATGGTATTAGTTCAGCAGAGGAAGGTGGCACTTCACAAAATATGTACCCACAAAGAAAAAAAACCAGAGTGCAGAAGCTAGAAACCACCATGATGGAGAAATGAGTGGCAACAACTGAGGGGCATTGTAAACTATGGAAGGTTGTATCTGACAATGTGCTAGTAAATCACATCTCAAACAGCATGTCTCTGACTCACATTTCCAGTGACCAGAATTGCTGCTAATTAGTTAGCTAGCTTCTTCCATTAGAACTGTCCAGTCTAATTGAAGTGCACTCCACTTGTATTCCCACCAAATATGTTTCAGCAGCCATGTTAGCCAAGTACTGTAATAAAGACACTTGCTGGTAATTTGGCACAGTTTAAAACCATGGCAACGATCATTTTACGGCTAACACGATTCTTTGATGTGGAATTTTTTTCTAAAGACTCACCGTTGCAGTTCCCTTAAGATTTTTTTAAGGAGATAGATCTTACAAAAAAAAAAAAAAAAAAAAAAAAAAAAAAAAACCAAAACCCCCAACAACATTGCTTTCCAGTCTTTCAGGTCTTGCCAAAATAATTTGTGTTGTATGAATTTCTAAAACAAAGCTAAGAAAAATATCTTCCCCGCTCAAGAAAAGAAATGCTGCAACTTCTGAGGGTTAATACGGATCTGAAACAAGGGTGCATGAATGAAAGCCAGAGAAGTGAAACAAAAGGTGCATGTATAATTTCACAACTAGGACTCATGCCCCATGGCACCTGCTACTTGGATGGAGAGAGAATACAGCCTTCCCTCTTGTCTTCTGTCTAAGGTCACTCTTCCAGCTCCTCAAGAACTGACTGAACATGCAATGCACTTGAGGTCAGAGTTCCAGCAAATAAAACCTTGACAGCGTGTTTAAAAAACAGAAGCAGTTCCCCTCTTCCTTGCTCATTAAGACCTGTCACAGCAGGGTCCCACTGTGCTCTCCAAAGAAAGCTGTGAAGATTGGCGCAGGAGTGGACCTGTAGTAGGATCTACCATCGAGGAGGTAGGGAAAAGCTTGTACCAACCAATTGCTAACGTTGACAAATCCAGTTCTTCCAAGAGGACCCTGGCAACTCCCATGAAGTATTTGCGCTCCATACGTCCATAGTTCCCCCAGACTATCACCTTGGAAATGAAAAGGGGGATCATAGTTAGCTTTCAAGTAAAGAGCAGCAGGCAACTCATACCTTAGTTTTGAAACACTCAATCAGATCCCAAGCCCATCTGAGTAACTGCAAAGACTCCCTGGGATTTATAGGGGCTTATGGATCAGGCATCCAATTTTTACATAATGGAAAATACTGTCCAAAATCCCCAAGCTCCCCTCCCCCCCGAATTCAAAATAAGGGGAGACTTTTCCTATAGTGTTGGGTATGTGCTACAAAATGATTGCAGGCTTCTGTTAGGCCCCATACTCAATTTTGCAAAGCTTAATATTACAAAGAATATTTTTCCCAGGAAAAAAAGTGCACGCGCTGTGACGCTGGGCCCCATATTTTTTAGGGAAATGGGTTTAATATGAATTTGCATAACTCAAACATACTTTATGCAAAACAGGGCAAGTAACCTATTGTTCAAGAGCTTGCAATCTGCTACATGTGTATATTCAGGCCCACAAATGGGGGAAAGAAGGCAACTGACTTGGGCCACAGTGATTCTAAAGGGCCTGTGGCTCCCAGCTGCCACTAGTGCAGTAGCAACCTGGGCCCTTAATAATTGCTGCTGGATCACTGAGCTGCACGTTCCGAAGCCCCATGCCGCACACTCTGGCTGGCTCTGGGGATCGGTGTGGGGGGGTCATTGCATCATCTGGGCAGCACTGAGGGCTGGTTGCCCAGTCCTGCCCGAGGCCCCACCCCTTCCAAGAGCGCAGAGCCAGGCCCCCCTCCCATTCCCCAGGGGCCCAGCAATCCTGTCTGTTCCTCGGTGTACATTCTATTTGCGTGCATGTATCTTTCTTGTATGTGAAGTTAGAAATACAAAGTGTAAATCTGTTTATTAATCTAGGTCTTCTAGTAAAAGCTATTAATGGTCCTTAAGGAACCTAATGGCCTCAAGGCAATGATGTATGAAGAGTCTTGATTCTCCTGTAAGCCTGGACTGTGGTTAGTCCTACAAAGATATAGAATCATAGAATACAACTCTTCCCATTCTAGAAGAGATCAAGTGCAGTCCCCTGCCCTCACGGCAGGACCAAGCACTGTCTAGATCATCCCTGACAGATGTCTGTCTAGCCTAAGGATATTAAGTAGCATGTATTTCACTAATTGAACATACGATGCATTTTTGCATTGACTATTCGATTAGTCAATAGGGCTGAGTCCACACAGCGCTGCAGCTTTGAAATTCCACCACAGTGTTTCAAAGGGGCAGTGCCACACAGCTGATCCCAAGCTCAGTGCCACACGGAATCCCAGCTGAACCCAGGCTCCATGCAGTGCTGCCCCTTTGAAATGCCACTGTGGCGTTTCAAAGGGGCAGCGCCACACAGAGCCTGGGCTTCCTGTAGCACTGCCGCTTTGATAGAGGCAGCAAGTGGAGGGGGAGCGACTAGTCCTTAACATCCCTAGTCTAACCTGCTCGTAAATATCTCCAGTGATGAGATTCCACAACTTCTCTAGGCAATTTATTCCAATGTTTAACCACCCTGTTAGGAAGCTTGTCCTATGTCCAACCTAAACCTCCATTGCTGCACTTTAAGCCCATTGCTTCTTGTCCTATCAGAGGCCAAGAAGAACAATTTTCCTCCCTCCTAGTAACACCCTTTTAGATACCTGAAAACTGCTATTATGTCCCCTCTCAGTCTTCTCTTTTCCAAACTAAGCAAGCCCAATTCCTTCATCCTTCCCTCATTGCTCATGATTTCTAGAACTTTAATCATGTTAGTTGCTCTTCTCTGGCCTTTCTCCGATTTCTCCACATCTTTCTTGAAATGTGGTGCCCATAACTGGACATGATACTCCAACGCTACGTCTACACCGGCAGTTTCTTGCCTAAGAACTCTTTTGCAGAAGAGTTCTTGTGCAAAAAGTCTTCCACAAGAGTGCATCTACACTGGCATGTGCTTTTGCACAAGAGCATCCATGGCAGTGTAGACGCTCTCTTGCGCAAGAAAGCGCTGATGGCCATTTTAACCATAGGGGCTTCTTGCACAAGAAATTCATGTTGCCTGTCTACACTGGCCTCTTCTGGAAGAGCTCTTGTGCAAGAGGGCTTCTTCCTGAGAGGGAAAGTCAGAGTTCTCACGCAAGAAGCCCTGATTTTCTACAAGACAATCAGTTTACTTGCACAAGAACGCGCAGCCAGTGTAGACAGGCGGCATGTTTTTGTGCAAGAGTGGCCATTTTTGCACAAGAACGCGCTAGTGTAGACACAGCCCGACAAACCTAATCAGTGCAGAGTAGGGCGGAAGAATGACTTCTTATGTCTTGCTCACAACACTCCTGGTAATGCATCCCAGAATCATGTTTGCTTTTTTTTTTTTTGCAACAGTGTCACACTCCTGACCGGGGTGGGCAATAATTTAGAGGGGAGGGCCACTCCCAGATTCTGGAAAGTGGTCAAGGGCCGCACTCTTTCATGATATTAGTGGAGGAGATGCGGGGTCTGGGATAGAGACTGGATGCAAACGGGAGCTTGGGGTAAGAATTTGGAGTACAAGAGGGAGACTGGAGTCTGGGAGGGAGTTTGGGTGAAGCAGGCAGTTGTGACCTAGGGCAGGGGACTAAAGTGCAGGTGTTTGGGATGTGACCTAGGATAGAAGGGGACTGTGATCTGGGGCAGGAGATTGGGGTGCCAAAAGGGAGACAGAGGGTTTGGGTATGCTGAGTGGGGGAGGGGGAGAGCGTTGGGGAGTTTGGGTGAAGGAGAAAGTTATGACATAGGGCAAGGGACTGGAGTGCAAGGGTTTGGGACGTGACCTAGGGTAGAAGGTGATTGTGATCTGGGGCAGGAGATTGAGGTGCCAGATGTGGGAAGGGGTATAGGCGCAAGAGCGGGGACAGTGTCTGGGTATGTTCGGGGGGGAGGGTTGGCACATGGAGGGGTTGAGGTGCCAGAGGCAGGCTGTGGCCAGGAGACTTACCAGCCAGCAGCCAAACCAGCCTGACAGCCTGCAGAGCTAAAGCTAGCAGAGCTTAAACTTTTCCCAGCCAGCCATCCTGCCTCCTTGCTTGGCCATGTGCTTCAGTGAATAACTGAACCGAGGAGAGGGGGCGTGGTTCTTCTTGGCTACCTGTTATTCAAACAAGCAGCTCTCACTGGCTGGTCTCTGGCTAGAAACTGGCCAATGGGATTCTGCTGGGGGCAGCTCCTGAAGCTTGCCCTCCTCCCCACTCCAGTTTTGAAACTGAAATGAAGCCTGGCAGCCATGTATTTGTACAGCATACAGTGCTGCAGGGGAGCCTGCCTGGGGCTCCCTGCTGCCTCCATGGGCTAAATCTAGTGGCTTGGCGGGCCACATCTGGCCTGCAGGATATATATTGCCCAGGCCTGCTGTTGACTTGTTTAGCTTATGGTCTACTATGACCCCAGATCCCTTTCTGCAGTACTCCTTCCTAGACAGTCACTTCCCATTCTGTATGTGTGAAATGGATTGTTCCTTCCTAAGCAGAGTACTTTGCATTTGTCCTTATTAAACTTCATCCTATTTACTTCAGACCATTTCTTCACTTTGTCCAGATCCTTTTGAATTATGAACCTATCCTCCAAAGCACTTGCAACCCCTCCCAGCTTGGTATCATCTGCAACCTTAGTAAGCGTACTCTCTATGCCAATATCTAAACCACTGATGAAGATATTGAACAGAACCGGTCCCAGAACAGACCCTTACCAGAACCCCGCTCGTTATGCCCTTCCAGCAGGATTGTGAACCGTTATTAACTACTCTGAGAACGGTTATCCAGCCAGTTATTTACCCACCATATTGTAACCCCATATAGGTTGTATTTCCCTAGTTTATTGATAGAAAGGTAATGCGAGACCATATCAAATACTTTACTAAAGTCTAGGTATACCATATCCACCTCTTCTCTCTTATGCACAAGACTTGTTATCCTATCAAAGAAAGATATCAGATTGGTTTGACATGATCTGTTCTTTACAAATCCATGCTGTCTGTTACTTATCACCTTATTTTCTTCCAGACGGATTCCTTAATTACCTGCTCCATTATCTTTCCTGGCACAGAAGTTAAACTGACTGGTCTGTAGTTTCCTCAGTTGTTCTTATTTCCCTTTTTTATAGATGGGCACTAGATTTGCTCTTTTCCAGACTTCTGGAATCTCTCCTGTCTTCCATGATTTTTCAAAGATGATAGCTAAAGACTCAGATACCTCCTCTATCAGCTCCTTGATTACTCTAGGATGCATTTCATCAGGCCCTGGTGACTTGAAGACATTTAACTTTTCTAAGTGATTTTTTTTTTTTTTTTAAACTTCTAAACCTACACTGTTTCCACTAATATTCACTATTTTAGTAGGGTTACCAGGTAGCTTCAGAAAAAATACAGGACACACTTGATGGGGAAGGGACCAGCTGGGACGGGAGTGGGGCTGGCCGGGAGAAGGGGGGGACAGGAAGCAGGGCTGGCGGGGGGGGGGGGTCAGGGGC